TTATTACAGGCACACAATACACTATATATATGGCTTTTGTGGCGTCCGGCAGCTATGGCTCTTATTCCTTCTGATGATGTACGTGTGATACGAAACGCGCGTCAAGGAGGAGCCCTTGCTAGCCGTGACGCTAAGCCGCCGGATCAAGGGGGTCCGGCGGCCACTCTTCTACACCAGCTGGTCAGTGTGTCATTCATGATATCCTTAGTGCACAAGGATTGATTTTATTCTCATATTTATGTTAAGTGTGGTGTTTTTTAACATACAATAAATTTTTTTTCATAATTTAACATAAATACTACACTATGGGTATTCCTTTTTGCTCCACATCGAGCATTTAATTCCTCAGGACCACAGGTGATTACCCCAAGGCTCAGAGATATATTCAGCTGATCCTGTTTGGAACCTGTCTTCCAGTAGGAATCCCAGATGGGTTATCTTTCATCATAGAACCATCTTTTCGGAGTTTCCCTTCATCCACAGTCGGAGTGATCTTTGGTGTATGAGACACAAACGCACAATTTAAATTGTGCTTCCGGTGAGTGCGCAATTTTCATTTCTTCTGCATATCGCCGGACTACATGCATTACAAAGATCTCATCGAGATACACTCATCTGTGTTTCTTTGATGACTGGACTATACTGTGCATTTATATTGTGCGTTTTGTATTGTGAAGTGAAAATTGTTGAAGCTCACGTCATTTCTTCTCCCCCTCCTGTTTCCAACTTTTGGGAGGATCACATATAGTGTGTTTGGTCACATATAATGCATGTGGTCCACATCTGCTGACATTTAAGTAAGGGATATTGTACCATCTTCAATACTGGTACAGTCATATAACATCAAGCGCTGCACTATTTATCTTATATTGTTTATTTGAAGGTTGATGGTTTTCCTTTTTTAGTGTATCAGCTGCTGTGTCGGTTAGCGCTCACTGAATCCCTCATTACCATATACTAGAAAATAGACCTTAACAATCGGGGCAACAGATGACCCAAATCCACATGGGGATATAAAGGAGATAGTGACCCCTAGTAGGTACCCAAAAGGGTACCCAATGAAGACCAAGTGAGTATCTACAAGAGAAGCCAAACAGATAACAATTTGTGCAAAATAAAGTGTCCACAGTTCATACAAATGCAGTTATTTCCAAGACGTGCAGGTGAGTCACAACACCCTTCAAACGTAATCCCAAGCAGTATGGCTGCAATGGCCTCTCACCTCCACTCCACGACCCCGTAGGGCCACAAAGCAATGTAGATCACCTTTGGATCCCTCAAGCTGGTGGCTCCTCAGATAGGATGGTGCGGGCAGTCATCAAATAGACAATATTCAACCGGACCAAGAATTGGTTAAATTTCCCCTCCCAACATCGACCCCTAAGGGCCACAACACCTTAGGTAATCCTCAAACCAGACGGCGTCCCACAATATGGCTCCAATCGGGCTCCGCTCCTAACTCAGCACATCAAAGATTTCTTTCACACAATAAAACAAACAAGAGATACCTGTGCTCCACTATTGCGGTTTATATGGTCTATGTGTTTTATGAGCATTTAATGTTTCTTTATCCCTCCACAGGGATTCACATGTTCATAGGTTTGAGTCCCAGCTGTGGGTACTAAGGGTCACTTGATTTATATCCCTTATTGGCATTGGGTTCACTATTTACAGGTCACGTATCAGGTCCTTCTGACCTTGTGTGTTTGAGCACCCATTGTCACACATTTTTATTATGGTATATGTTATCTAGCGCTACACCACTTTGCATTTAAGTAAGCAGTACTGGCTAGAATATCCTTTGTCACCATACTCTAAGCCAGCGTTTTTCAACCACTGTGCCGCGGCACACTAGTGTGCCGTGAGATATTGTCTGGTGTGCCGTGGGAAAAATTGCAATTTCATCCGTAACATGTGGCCTCGGCTCACAAATAGACCAATCATTAGAACAGCAATGGGCAAACTACGGCCCGGCGGACCTTTTAATCCGGCCCGCGGAGCGTGATACTGTCAGGATGATCTGTCCCCCTCGACGTATCTGCGCATGTGCCGGAGATCGCCGATCGGCTGCTAATGCTGAAACTGGCACATGCGCAGATACGTCGAGGGGGACAGATCCTCATAGGAGACAGATTTTCATGCTACACCAGAACGGCGAGAGGAACGCGCGGAGCAAAGGTAAGTGAATTGACACAGGGGGGGCTTGGGGACTTAATATGGGGGATAAATTACTATGGGGGATGAATTACTATGGGGGATGAATTACTATATGGGGGATGAATTACTATAGGGGGGATGAATTACTATATGGGGGATGAATTACTATGGGGGGGATGAATTACTATATGGGGGATGAATTACTATATGGGGGATTAATTACTATGGGGGATGAATTACTATATGGGGGATTAATTACTATGGGGGATGAATTACTATATGGGGGATTAATTACTATGGGGGATTAATTACTATATGGGGGATGAATTACTATACTTACTATGGATGACACATACACATCATTCATCTACTCTTGGTCCGGCCCCCGGGTCCAATTATAAAATACTTTATTATTTCATAATAAAGTAATTATAAAATAATTTCTTTGTGTTTGATTCCTATTCAAGAGAATTACTTTATATATAGTCAATATAGGCACAGAGGTAAATTTTTTTAACATTTTCCAATGGTGGTGTGCCTCGTGATTTTTTTCATGAAAAAAGTGTGCCTTTGCACAAAAAAGGTTGAAAAACACTGCTCTAAGCATTAGACTAGTTTCAGCTTTGTAACCAAGCTGTTTGTAATTGTAAGTAGTAGCTGAAGTACAGTAAGTAGTGTAACCCAACACAAGTAGCAACGGATCTTAAAAAGCCTTTAAAACTACTCACAGCAAAATGCTTACCCAAGTGGCCTAACAACATCTGTCCTGTATCTTTTAACTCATTGTATTGGTGAAGAAGGGAAATATGCTTGTCCAATTCTGCTAGACTGTAGCCTCTACAAACAAACCAAAAAAAAATATATTAAAAATGCATTCTGACTTAAAGTGCAGGTGTACCTCGGTTTGCGAACGCCTCAGTTAACATAATTTTCGGTTTACGAATGAAAATCCATTGAAAATAATGCCTTGGTTTACACATTTTTTACAAATGTTTTTCGCAATACGAAGTGTATGTCGGTGCCGATTTTTAATAGCAATTGCGGGCTTTTTTTTTTCTCTTAACTATAGCTCACAGAATTAGCTGTCACTTTCCCTGGAGCTAAAGGATAGCAATTCTCTCTTTTAGCTGGGAAACATTTTAGAAAGGAAACATTCTCTCTTTTAGCTGGGGGGAAAGTGACAGATGATTCTCTGAGCTATAGTGAAGAGAAAAAAAAAAAAAAAGCCGGTAATTGCATTTAAAAACTGGCACTGACCTATAGTGACAAGAGACTTTTTTTTATTTACCTTTTTCTGACCTCCAGAACTGATTAATTGGTTCTCAATGCATTCCTTTGGGAAACTGCATTAAATTCGTAAACCGAGGTACACCTGTATATCTAAAGGTAGAGCCTTTTTTAGTTTAGCTCCAGCTTCCCTGTGTCAGTGAGTGGCTGCTGCAAGGGAGAAGAAGAAGCACAAACAACGGCTGGGACATGGGAACCTATGAATAAGATCATTGCTCCCAGAATTACCTGCTGTTGTTGGGAGCTCTGGATACCTTTGCTGCCATTATGCTATTGCTGGGTGTCCAGCGAGTCCCTATACCTTTTAGGTGTCAGTGGGTGGGCATTAACGCCAAGAGGCTGTATATAATCATACCAGAATGTAAACACAGCTGTGCCGAGAGCATGCGCCTGTCACCAGCGGATAATTATTATTATACAGGATTTATATAGCGCCAACAGTTTGCTCAGCGCTTTACAACATAACGGGAGACAATACAGTAACAATACAAGAGAGATTTGAGGGCCCTGCTCCTTGGAGCTTACAATCTAGGAGGGAGGAATATGGAAAGCTCCTGATTGCTGCTCATGATCAGGAGTTTTTCGATCATGTGACCTCTGTGACAGCCAATCACGGCGGTCACATGATCATAAACCCTGCACCAGTATTAAGAGGTTAAGGAGGGGTGCGCTCCCTCCAGGCATACCTGCCCTTTATCTATTATATATGTGCCCCAACTCTTAAAAATACAGATTAGAACTGTAGTACACTAGGGTACTGTGAAGTGGCCTGCAGTTTATGCATATATTTGCAAATGTCTGCAAACTAAACCCCTGGTTTTAACCTGGACTGTTAGACAGGACAATTTGCTTTGTTGGAGGCTGCCTGGTAAGTGAGCTGGGAATTTTTCTTTGTGGTTTCTGACATGCGTTGCCCTTCCATGTGCTCCTTGCTGCAAAATCCAGTTTTAGGTTGGGGTGGTTGCCATTTGTAATGTGGGGGACGGCCCCCCTCCGCTGTGTCAAGGAGCGCCGACAACAGCTGGGACATAGGAGCCTATGAGTGATTTCACAGCTCCCAGAAGATCCAGCAATTGTCTAGCGCTCCCTCCTCTTCCCAGCAGCCACCCCTCACTAACAGAGGGAATCTTGTGAGCAGAGAAAAGCAAGATAAAAATATGTAAGTATAACACATCTTTATTACACAATATCGGTAATATAGTAGGGAGAGGGGGGGGGGGGACATTTGTAAGACTATTGTTAGGCTGGAGTTCTACTTTAACTAGACAGATAGTAAGGGCAAATCTCCCCAGCAGAGACAAACATAAAAACATCATGACAGGTTCAAAAATGCTACTTACTATGCAAAATTAAAAAAAAAAAAAAAAAATTTTTTACGGATACATTCTAACCTCTTGCCACCTACTTAAAGCACAGTGGTAATGTGATCAGAATGTCCTTTCCTCCCCCAGATGTAAAGAGATATCAGGGCAGGCTGGGAAGGAGTTAAAAGTATTACCAATATAATACAAAGAGTAATGCAGCTTTGTATACAACATACTGTGCCTCGAGCTGTGCTATTTCTTTATCCACAGAGGCTTCTTTTTCCTTAAGTTCTGAGATGGCCTTTTCCAAAGTGTCTTCATCGCCTGCAGGTGACTGGCTGATATTAGGTTGCTGAACCTGCTGGAACAATACGAAACAGAGGAAAAGTACAGGGAAAAAAAAACATTTCGATACTCACGGTGACAATAGAAGTCTTGTCTATAAAAACCAATCAAGTTTCTATAGATTTTTCAGGTGTATAGAGTTCAGGACAGAATAAAAAGCTAAAACAAACACTATATGATAAAGCCAACACATCCAGGTTTTAATGTAATTCCACTAAATACATATACAGTGGTTTATATTATTGAAGTGATTGTAAAGGATTTTTATTTTAAATAACAAACATATTACCTGTGCTGTGCAGTGGTTTTGCACACAGCAGACCTTATCCTCCTCTTCTGGGGTTCCCCGCCAGTACTCCTGGCTACTCCTTTTGGGAGCCCCCATAGCAAGCTGCTTGCCATGGGGGCACTTGTGCAGGCTCGCTCCCAAGTCATGCTCGGTGTTTAACACAGACCGTGGCTCAGCTCCGCCCCCTGCTCACTGGCTGTGATTGACAGCAGCGAGAGCCAATGACTGCCTCCATGTCCAGTGAAAAGGGAGAGAGTGGAGAGAGAACTGTTGCTCTTGGGCACATCGCTGGATCGAGATTGAGCTCAGGTAAGTAAGTGGGGGGGCCGGCTGAACACAGAAGGTTTTTTACCTTACTGTAGAGAATACATTAAGGTAAAAACCTTCTGCCTTTAGAACTGCTTTAATGGAAGTTCTGCCTGAAGCAGTGTTCCAGTGACAGTCATTTGACAGGTTCTCTTTCATGACTATATTTCATCCTTTACATATATAGAAATGTAAAGATACTCTCTAGTGCAGGGTTTCTCAACCAGCGTTCCATGGATCCCTAGGGTTCCTCCAGAAGTTGCTAATGGTTCCTTGAGCAAATCAGCAATTTCTGCATCTCAAATAGGTTTCCACTGACACCATTGATCTTTTTATATCCGTAAGGGGATAATTTTCCCCAATGACCACAAGTGTAAGGAGCATTCTTCCCACTGATCATCACAGAAATGTATCATGAGTTGAAGATGTGGTTGTAATTTTTAGCAGGAGTTCCCTGAGACTGGAAAGTTATTTCAATGGTTCCTCTGTGTTGAAAAAGCTGAGAAAGGCTGCTCTAGTGTCTCTCTGCATATCAGGGAATGGTTAAGCCTGTTTTTTGTTTTGTTTTTTTTTTGCACGCTAGTCTCGTATCAAAAAGGAATAGGTCACTAAAGTTACAAAAATTATCTTAAGATAGAATACGACTTTGGAAGTGATGTAATGTATTGGAACGTATTCTCTCTTTTCCGAGCATGCATGGTCTTTGTCACTTGGTTTTTCTATGGATGAATACTGTACCGATTTAACAAAAATCATTAGTTCTGTTATTGTACGAAAAAATGTTCGTGCTGATCTCTTCAGATAAATTCACATAAACGGTCTTGACCGTCTCTCAAAAGTGGTGTACCAACGATCAATCGAACGATCGCTTCGAAAGCAGTATTTTTCGTACAATGTTCTCATCATATGTACTAGGCATTAAGCATTCTTGCCAGGCAACTGCCCAGATTACATGATAAGCCAGATAATGAGTGTTTTGTTTTTAACTCAGTCTGAGGAACTTTACTGACCTTTACCTAAGAGGAACAATCTGCAAACATTCCTAAGCATAAAAAGATAGATAACATACATAATGAACAAACATGGGGCTCACATTACCAAGGCTGGTGTAAATAAAACTTAACACCTTCCCGCCCGGCCTATTGCAGATTTAAACTCCGCACTGTGACTGGGCGTCATATGACATCCTGTCAAAACGAGCCGCTCACGTGGCCACAGGGCCACGCAGCATTGCGATCTGTCACCGGCTGTGTCCTGTGGACACAGCCAATGACATATCATTACACTGGCCCGTTGCCAGTGTCAGGTGACCAATCACAGCAGATCACATGTAAATTGCATACAATAGATGGCTTCCTGTCATGCCATCCATTGTGTACAATTATGTTGTAAGCTGTGACTGGTCAAAGCAGTCACATGATAAAGAGAGGGCCATTCACAGCTCATCTGTATCATGTGATCAACTTTGCCCAATCACAGATAATCACAACAAAAGACTGAATTACTCAGTTTCTTTCAGTAACAGGAATTGCAAATATGAATGAAATGCATTGGTATTAGCAATCATAATGTGTTTTTAAAAAAAAAAAAAGAAAAATCCTGATCACTTGCCCAGAGTAGTTCAATGTTACCATGGTAACATTGTATTACTTTGGTCACAGTGTGTTGAAAAAAAAAAAAAGGAAAAAATAAATGTAATAAAAAATAAATAAATAGAAACATTTGAAAAAAAAAATACAAATTCAATTATTTTTTATTATTTTCACCAAAGAATGTAGCAGAATACATTTTGACCTAAATTTATGAAGAAATGTTATTTATTTGTAAAATTTTATAGCAGAAAAGAAAAGTGCGTTTTCAAAAGTTTCAGGTTTTTATGTTGTAAAAAAAAAAAAAAAAAAACAAAACTCAGTGGTGATTAAATACCACCAAAAGAAAGCTGTGTGTGAAAAAAATGATAAAAAGTTCATATGGGTACAGTGTTGCATGACCGCACAATTGTCAAAGTGAGATAGCGCTGAAAACTGAAAATTGGCCTGGGGAGGAAGGGGGTAAAAGTGCCCCCTTCCTGCCCAGGCCAATAAGGTATAAGCAAGTGGTTAAAGTGGACCTATACCTAAAATATAAGGGTGCTTTTACACCTGCGAATGTACCTGCACTGTGATTAGATGTGAAAATGCCAGTGGGGGCTCCCGCAATTGGCTTTGGGAGGCGACCTCATTGAAAGAAATGGGAGACTGCCAGCTCCCACAGCTAAATCGCAGCCACTTGCATGTAATCGCTCATGCAGCAATCAGCCTTGGAGGCAGGCAGTCTGTGTCCAGGGCTGATCACTCACCTGTGATCGTTGTATGAGCGATTACATGCGAGTGGCTGCGATTAGCTACAGGAGAGGCCAGCCTCCCATAGCTTTTAATGGGGTTGTCTCCTGCAGCCAATCGCTGGAACCCTCGCTTGGGTTTGTGCATCTAATCGCAGTGCAGGTTCACGCGCAGCTGTAAATGCACCCTAAAGTTTGGATTTCTAACAGGGATTCATCACCATAGTTTTATTGTGACAAAGCAATCAGTACAAAATTGTACCTTCAGCATGAAATTCCCTATTAAAAGCAACGCAGCACTTCTAAGTGCCTATGCAACTTGCTTTCCTCTAGCATCACTGGTGCTTGTCAGGACTTTTGAATCATCAGACTCCTGCCTTCAATCACAGGACTGCACAGATAAAGTCACTGGGGAAGTGTGATCTAAGAACATGAAGAGCTACCTGGTGATAGGTTACACCTCCACTGATATGGCAACCATGGTGTGGTCAGCACTGTGATATGGAAATAAAAATGAACAGCTGCAGAGTGTCTACTGTAAGTGTATAACATTCAAAACTGACAGTTTGAAGGATAAAGGTTGTCTGAGCCTAGGCATGCTTTAACCACTTCAGCTCCGGAAGCTTTAAACTCATGACCACCCCATTTTTTGCACTGCACTACTTTAACTGGTAATTGCACAGTCATGCAACTCTGTACCCAAACAACATTTCTATATTTGTTTTCACACAAATAGCTTTCTTTTGGTGGTATTTTATCACCACTGGGTTTTTCATTCTTTGTGAAACGAGAAAATACCAAAAATTAAAAAACAAACAAACATATTTTTACTTTTTGCTAAAAAAAAACATTCAATAAAAAAAAAAAATTTAAATTTCTTTAAACTTTTTGGCCAAAATATATTCTGCTACATGTCTTTGGTAACAAAAAAAAAAATATCCCAATAAGTGTATAACTACAGAATGTGTAATGTGTGTAAAGTGCTTTGCAGGGATGAGAAACTGACAGATTGCTCTCTCTGTACAAAGCTTTGTGTTGTTTACCCACACAGAGCCTTGGGCTGTGATCGCACACAGCTGATCAGCAGGTCCCGGCCATGAATCATTGGCCCGGAAATTGCTGACACATTCACAATGAGTGCCTGGCGGGGGCACATAGGCGTGCACCCTAAACCCGCAAGTGGGCAGCAACATGGGGGTATGGGTATGTTGCTTTGCCTACAGTGGCAGCCCATCCGCAGTACACTATGGGTCACCAAGTGGTTAAAGTAAACTATCATTAAAAGAAAAAACAAATCTAAATTTTACGTCCTGTGTCAGACACCCCAATGCTTATACTTACTTGTATTTCCTCTCCGCCACTACTTCAATCCACACACAATGGTGCCCAATATTTTTGATATTTGCATGCTTCATGGTACAACACCCAAGCTCAATACAACAGTGGTAAAGCCTTGTGATTGGCCATTCAGGCCACAAATGCTCCACTGTGGAGAGGCAGGGGGCATGTTACATGTCCTAGGGCAGCACAGTGGCTAAATGATTAGCATTTCTGCCTGGCAGTACTAGGGTCCTTGGTTCAAATCCCAACCACGGCACCACATGCCTGGAGTTTGCATGTTCTCCCTGTGCTTGAGTGAGTTTCCTCCAGGTACTCCAGTTTCCTCCCACCCTCCAAAGACATGCTGGTAGGTGAATTGGCTCTGGTCTAAATTGGCCCTAGTATGTGTATGTATGAATGTGAGTTAGGGACCTTAGATTCTACAGCCCTTGAGGGTTAGGGACTGATGTGAATGTACAATATATATGTAAAGTGCTGTGTAAATATATAAGTACCCCCTTTTACATCAATACCTGGAAGTCAGAGGAGCCAGCTGCACCTATCGAATTCTGAATGATCTTCGAAGGCATCTTAAACTAATGTCACGGACACAAGCACAAAACCCATCAACATAAGCGCTAAACATACCTGTTTAAATAAAATAAAAGCAATCTCAAACCCTCTACCAGTATTTTTACATAGGATTGATTACCATTCCCACTCAGTAAAAATATCTTAGTTCCAGGGCATCAATGTAAATACATTTATGAAAAATATTTGTATGTCTAATATAAAACTTACTGGTGACTTAAATACAGTGTTGACATTTTTTCGGTTCCCCAGAGGTGTCCTAGAAGAAACAGATATGATGTGATAAGTGTCATGGAGACAATGGATTGAAATATTTACAAAAGTACTGAAAAAAAAAAAAAAAAAAAAAAAGTGATAGGGCTTCCACTTTCTGACTCTAGCTCCAGGCTTCTGCTTGTCATCACCACAATGTACAATCATCTTCCAGGATAGCCTTTGCATGTCAGACACTGACAGCTGGATTGTTATTAAGTGATTTTACTGTTGATCTTGGGAGATCTTCTAAGGGCTCATTCACACTTGACTGTTTTACCAACACTTGCCAAACACCCCTAGAGCATTTGGCAAGCGTTGGTCCGGCGTTTGCGGAGCGTTCTTTAACGCGCCGCATGCTCGGTTTAGTGGCGGTTGCTAGGCGTTTGCCGAGCGTTAAAAACGCTCCACAAGCGCCTATAATGAAGTTTAAATGGTGTTACCGCTCCGCAAACGCCCCGCAACCGCGTCGCAAACTCCGGCCGGGTGTTTGCGGAGCGGCACCATAGACTAGAATAGGAGGCTTCAACGCCTCCTGACTTGACCAGAGGCGTCCGTTTTGCCGCGACGCTAACGCTCCCGTTAGAAAAGCACCATGTGCTGCAATGTGCAGAATTGTCAGAGGGGTTTGGGAAGCGGTAAAAACGCTTCCCAAACGCCTCTCTGCCGCCTGCACACAACGCTAGTGTGAACGTAGCCTTACTTGCTGCAGACGCATTATGACGACGCAGGGGTCAGGGTGGAAGGGGACCTGGAAGTGTTGATTTCCAGTCAGTGAACAAGTAATACAGTCTGTCTGCATGTATTTGTCAGGTTAAAATGCTGGTGACGGGTTACTTTATAGCTGGAATTCAGGCAGTACAAAATAATTAACACCCCCCCCCCCCCCCCCCCAAAGATGAAAGATCAGTCACTCATTTGTCTAGGGCAGGGTCTCCAAACTTTTTTTTTTTTTTAAAGGGCCAGTTTGTCCTTCAGCCTTTAGGGGGGCCGGATGTTGGTGTCAGTGGGAGGAACAGTACCCCATCGTTGGTGTCAATGGGAGGAACAGTGTGTTGTATCAGTAAGAGGAAAAGTGCCCCAAGGGCCATAGAAGGTCAAGCTAAGGGCCACACCCAGCCCCCGGGCTGCAGTTTGGAGACCACTGGTCTAAGGGATACTGGTCTAGTAATACTTTAACCCACAGTCCTGCAAAAGCTGGCAGTCTGGTCCTCTTTTCTCCAAAACAGAGATGTGAGTGTGCAACCTATGTCATAACTCACAAAGCAGGACCAGCCGACACCACAGATCCTGCACTGTACATGACGATGGCGGCAAGAGAGGCGGTGACAATTTTGATCATCACAACCAGAACTGGTGTTGTGCAAGACCGCAGGACTGTGTCTGAACAGGATAATTTCTCTCTTTTTTTTGAAGGGGGGGGGGTACAATTTTAACATTGTATAATTGGCCAGAGTTAGCTTTTGAAAGCTTGTTCACACCAGGTGCGTCGATGTATTGATCTCACTAGGCTCAGTGCAGGTACACTCTAAATCAGAGGTCTCTAAACTGGGCCAGATGCGGCCCTTTGCTTGTTCTTATCCGGCACTTGGGGCACCATTCCATCCACTGACCCAACAAGAGTGCATTATTCCTCCCACTGACACCAATGATGGGGCACTATTCCTACTCCCACTGACACCAATGATGGGGCTAGCTAGTCCCACTCCCACTGACACCAATGATGGGGTGCTAGTCCTACTCCCACTGACACCAATGATGGGGCGCTAGTCCTACTCCCACTGACCCAATGATGGGGCACTAGTCCTACTCCCATTGACCAGGTTTATAGGTAAAGTTGATCCAGGGAATATCCTATTGCCTCTCGGGAGATCAGGAAGGAATTCTTTTCCCCAGCAGGAGCAAATTGGATCATGCTTTGCTGGGTTTTTTTTTTGCCTTCTTCTGGATCAACTTTGGGTATAGCATTATAACTTTTTTTTTAATTTTTTTTAAATGGTTGAACTGGATGGACTTTTGTCTTTTTTTTGGCCAGACTAACTATGCAACTATGACCATCAAGCCTGAGGCATTGATAACTCCCACTGACCAGTCCGGCCCCCCTAAAGTCTGAAGTAAACTGGCCCTTTGTTTAGAAAGTTTTGGAAAACCCATGCTCTAAAACAATTGCTGTCTATGTGCCCTGTTAACAACACTCTAGTGCATTGAGGAACAATGTAAGTGTGCTGTATTTTGTATGCAGGACACAAAAACATGCGTCAATGCAGTCTATCAAAATTATAAAAAAAAAACAAAACAAGTGTTAGTATTTTGACCCTTTAATTTAATTTGCAATTTTATGGAGCACGGGGAGCATAGCTATTGCTACCCATCCCAATGTGCTCACACTGGAAAAGAAGCTCCTATAAATGGGCAGGAGACAGGATGGGCAGGCAGAGATGCTGAGCTACAACAGTGTTGTGATAGCTGTACTCCTGGAGCTCCATAAAACTGTCAATGTAAATGAACCACTTCAATACCAGACACTTTCACCCCCTTCCTGCCCAGGCCATAGCAAGAGGCATTACAAGTTTTTGAAGGACCTCTTAGATTGTAAGCTCCAAGGAGCAGAGCCCTGCTAACCCTCTTGTATTGAACTGTATTGTTGCTGCGTTATATTGTAAAGTGCTGAGCAAACTGTTGGTGCTATATAAATCCTGTATAATAATAATGTTGTAATTCTTCACAATGTGTTGTAAAATTAAGAAATAAAAAAAAAAAAAAAAAAAAAAAAAAAAAAAAGTGGGTTTCTTTCACTTTTTATTTAATGCACTGGTCAACAATGCAGAACAGCATCATCATATAACTATGGTGGCAGTGATCAGGGACACTGGTGAAAGTATGTTACAAAAAAAAAAATATATATATATATATATATATTATATATATATATTACAATTTAATGATTTTTTTTTTTTTTTTTTTACATACTCTGACCAGAACAATAGTGTTACCATAGTGACACTGTACTACTCTGGAAAGGTGATCATCACTGTTATAAGCATCCATTTTTTATGACTACCATTCGTTCATCCATTGTGGAGCTGTGATTGGCCATAGCTATCACATTGTACACATGCACTGTGTTTGGCCCTGTCTGTACCTTGTGATCACTGAGACCAATCACAGAGATCAACACAATAGCACACGATGAATAGCTATGAAGGAAAGCCATTCATAGTGTACAATTGCAATGTGATCTGCTGTAACTGGTCATAGCAATCAAATGGTACCGGCAGCGGCCCAGTACACTAATCTGTCACTGTGAGGTGCTCGCGAGGCGTCCACCCAGGTTAGCAGCGCTCCTGTTTGGCCATCAAATTATTATAGGCCAGGCGAGAAGTGGTTAAAAAGATAAACCCACCAGGTAGCATGCACCTTCTTGGACTACACCAGCAGATTGTACAGACTGGCAGAATTCCTAGGAGTTCAGCTTTAACAAACAAAACTTAAAGCAGTAATAAATCCAAAAGCAAACATTTATTATATTGTAGCTTACCAGTTCTTAGATGTGTTGGCTGCATTAGTTATCTTTTTTTAGATTTTCTTTCCTTTAACTTGGTGAATGTTCCAGTAAGTCTATTGTTTTCCAACAGAACAAACTGACCTGCAGAGGTAGCAGTTAGAGGGATGAAACAAACCAATTACCATCGAGAGGGTTACTTAGGCCTCATGCACATAGGACATTTTGAAAACTCTCCTAGAAGCTTTTCCTCCTAGCAGCAGCGGTTTTCCTGAAAAACTGCCTGATGCTTGCTAAAGTGTCTAAAAAACGCTTTTGCAAGCATTTAGGCGTGTGTACAGGAGTCGAGCGCTTGGGAGTTAATTTCATTTGACAGAAAAATAAATTACTCTGGCCATTAAAATGAATTAATGCTCAAGCACCTAGCATTAACACAACGTTTAGACACGTTTAAAAGTGTTTTTCTGCCAAAATGCTGCTGTTCCTGGACGCACTGGCAGTGGGTGTCTTTTCATGCTTCTAAACTCTCCTGTAGCTAAATGCTGCTAAATGCCCGTGTGTGCACAGACAGATAGAAGAACATGAAGGGGCATATAGAAGCAGAAAAAAAAAAAAAAAAAAAAAAACCCGCTTGAAAGCCTAAAAGTGGTAGTAAAATCATTCTGTGTGCATGAGGCCTTACAATGAACAGAATTTATGTAAAACATTTTTATCCCAAAGGGGAAAAACTGTGCTTTAACGGCCTAGAATGTTTTAGCTGGAGTTTGGCTTCAGTTTATTAGTGTAAACACACTAAATAAATCAGCCAGTACATTTAACACTTCCCTCCCCCACAGACTGACAATGCTGCTGTCTTCTGTACCCCCTGTGCCATTTCATCCAGAGTGGGGGCACTCTAATATAAGGTGGTGTGTTACTGACCAGATCACCTAGGTGAAAGCAGAGGGGAAAAAAAGCCTAAAAAAGAAAAAAAATGCAGCCACTACATTTAATGATTTTTGGTTTATTACCGCTTTAATGCGCAGAAAATGGAGCACAATGTGGTAAAAAAAAAAAAAAAAAAAATGCATGCATTTTCTGTGCATTGTAGTGTGAACGAACCACCCCAATTGCTATAGCTATACATACTATGCATATACAGACACACTCACCGGGTAAAATAAGTATTGAACATATCACCATTTTTCTAGGTAAATATATTTCTAAAGGTGCTATTGGTATGACATTTTCACCACATGTCAGTAAGAACCCATGCAATCCATACATACAAAGAGACCAAAACAAATAGGTTAAGAAATTAAGTTATGTGTAATAAAATGGAATGACACAGGGAAAAAGTATTAAACACATGAAGAAAGGGGGGTGCAAAAAGGCATGGAAAGCAAAGACACCAGCTGAACTCTATCAGTATTTAGAAAGTAATTTTGCCCCCTTATCAGTGAAAGTTAATATCAGCTGGTTCAGTCTCAACTGATGACCTATAAAAAGGTGTCTCATTACCAAGGGGGTCACACAAGAAACATCTCACGATGGGTAAAACCAAAAAGCTCTCTCAAGCCCTTCAAGTTGTGTGTATACAGGGCCAATGCTAGACTATTCTGTGCCCTAGGCAAGACCAGCTACTTGTGCCCCCCCCCCCCCCCCAAAAAAAAAATACAATTTTCTAAAACAGTAGAAAATAGTAAATCAACAAAACTTGAAACTGCTAAATTTCTTTAAAAGCAGCAGGGCTCACTTGTCAGATGGAAGCATTCGGGCAGCAGCACTGCCGCCCGATTGCTTCCACACACCCCGCTATGTTGCCATCTGTGGATCTGGGACCAGTTCAGTGGCTGCCAGCGGGTATAGGGCAGGGAGGAGAGTGGATACATCCGCTCCCCTTCTTGTCCTGACCCGGAAGAGAGGTGACGTACCTTCCGGGTCCTCCTTGACAGATTCCCAGCCATCGAGGCAGGGAAAGAATTGCACCGCATTACATTCAGTGGAGCACAGGGGAGACCCTGGATGTAAAAAAAAAAAAAAAAAAAAAAAAAAAAAAAAAAAAAAACACCTGTCACCAAAAATCACCACATTTGATATGTTTAATGGTCCTGATGTCAAGTCACATCTTATTTCCCATTATATCCTATTGGCATTCCATTCTGTCATTTACCTTTGTTTTTCCTTAAAAAACTACTATAACCCAAGATAATTTCAATCTTACAATCTGCTACTCTACTTGGGGAACATCTGTAGTAAAGATGAAATTGCTATGTTTTTCAAATTTGACTGCAAATTAGTTTATATTTCGCTACCCATTATATTCTATAGGCATTCCTTTCTGTCATTCACCTTTGTCTCTCCATAGAAAACAATAACAATCCCGCCTAATCTCAATTTTAAACATCACCACTGAATTTTGAGACTATGTCTGTAGCAATCGTATGTACAGAGATGGACGCTGTCATCCATCTTGCTCAAGACCCTCCATCTTGTATCTCTCTCCCCCTCCAATCCCCCTCCTCAGGAATGTGGTCTGTGTGTATGTTGAGTTCAAAAAGCATCAGGCTCCAGCTGGAGAGCTTCATGGTTATAAACCCAAATTAGCTGGTGCTCGAGTGTTTGTTAGCTTCTCAATCTGAGATAATCGTAAAACCATAAACCAGTCCTTCACTGGACTTCAAAGACATTTCAGCTAGCCATAAAACAGACCTCACATGTAAAACCCACTTTCCATATAATTTTATATCTTAACGTAGGAAATAATTACATAAAGCATATATTCGGATAGCTCAGTTTAATGCGAGTCGTCTGATATCTTACACCCTTAGTGTCTACAGGAGAGCAGAAAGCCATATAGTTCTAGCTGGAATAGTCAAATATGGCATGTTTGATATCTAGACGTTCAGCAGATGATTCTGCATATGAATCTATCCGTGGATAGAATGTTACATGTACCTAGGGAAGGTTATTGCCCTGGTATAACTTGTGAGGGATTTTGGTTCTAGCCTGAGTCCCCCGCCTACAACACCGCTCCCCAAATGAGGCGATTGGTTCTCTGCTTTAAGGAGACACCCTGCTGAGTTCCTAGAAAAAGGCTGTTATGCTTGGAGTTGAGTTGAAAAAAAAATCTCCTTTAACATCTGAATCAACTTGGGAGAACGGCACCCTTTTGCTCTGAAACTTGATCTGCTTAACCCAGGACTTTTGGCAAGTACTCTACCTCTCTAAAACTTCTGTTATCTCTTTGCTGTGTTATTGCTCTCTGTAATATATATATATATATATATATATATACACACACACATACGCTACACACTGTACACACCCTACATAGTAATACATCTACATCTTTTTCAACTGTTTCTAAAGCTCTTCAATTGCACCCTTTTGACCTTTTTGTTTAATACATCCTATTATCTGAAAAGTGTTCAACTGTTTCTAAAGCTCTTCAATGCAAACTAAAAATCCCTGTCTCTGAATAGCGCTACTGTGTGTTTTTAAACCTCTATATATCTCTGCCTGCGGTGACAGTGCTATACAGATGATTATATACAAACATCATAGTGTTATTGCTAATATTGGCGAGTTTCCTCCTTTTATCTACAAAAAGGCGGTGGTGGCAGTGTGAAGGGTCCCTTCTGTCACTCACTCGTCATTCCATATAAAACAAAAATGATAATCCCGCTTCATCTCAATTTTAATCACCACTGAATGTTGAGAGTATGTCTGCTACGGATTTATTTGGTATGTTGAATAGTACTGAGTCTGACTCCAGGTCACATTTTGCTTCTCATTATACTCAATGGGCATTTTCTTTTGTCATTCACCTTTGTCACTCCATAGAAAACAGCTATAATCCCAAATTATTTCAGTTTTACAATCTGTTACTCTACTTGGGGAACACCTGTGAGAAAGGATATTTGCTATATTTTTTTCAGATTTGCCTGCAAATGAGTTTATATTTTGTTTTCCATTATTCTCTATATGCCACACATTTAATATACATATAACTATACTTACTATCCACATACAAATATACATACTATCCACATATAACATACATATAACTATATATACTATCCCCACATATAATATACATAAAGACCATATCGGGTCGTGGAGAAGTGATGCCCCCCATGACTGGTCTTTGCCCTGGATCCTCCTTAGTAGCACACTGTCCCACACCTCACCTGCGGAGACTGGCCCTGGGTCTGGGGGTGAGGAAGCAGGTCTGTCTGGGCGTCCCAGCAGAATCCTCCCTGTGAGGGGCCCCTGTGTTGTGGGGAGACTCCAGCCTGCAGTTCTGGGGCCACACTCAGCTCTGATCACAGGTGGTGAGCTATCCCAGTACACAGCCCTCCCCGATCACTGCCAGGCTCTGGGAGAAGGCACGGCTCTGTCAGCTGACCGGTCACATGACTCCCCGGCTCACGTGATCAGGTGTGTCAGCTGTCAGGCTGTGTGATGTGCTCCGTGCCAGTACTGGTGTGCACAGAGCACAGCTATGGGTGGTGGCCCCGCCATCACAGAGTCAGCCTGAGCTACAGTAAATGAGGTGTAACCACACACAAACCTTATGATTTGCATGGAGTAGGGAAGATGAAATCCACTGTCAGGTGTCCGGGGCTCTTACCAGGCAGGAGGTGAGGGAAAATCTACAATGGGTGAACAGACAACAATAAAAAGCCAGGGGGGGTTCTAGTATTACCTAACTAAAGCCCAACTCCCTGCACTGCAAGGGTTAATAGCTCATTTTGTGTAGGAGAGAAAAGAAAGGTTTTACTTACCAGATCATTCGTTCCCCTGGAACATGGTGCTCCCCCACAATCTGACAGTGGACTGTGCCTTGGCTCTCATGTCCAGTGCAAGGCTATGGACCCTGCTCTGGTCTTGGTGACATCGGGATTCTAGCCTACTGGAGCATGGGGGAGAAGAAACTGCGGGACCAGTGTAGCTGTGGGAGGAGCAGAGGATTAGGTAAGTAGTTACATTCTTAGTCTGGCTGAAAAAAGACAAAAAGTTCAACCACAAAAAAAAAAAAAAAGTAACTCCTTTTATTGTCCCTCTAGACTCCAAACCTTCCAGAGAAAGAGCCAGTTTACTGTCCTTCAGATTTTAGGGGGGTGGCTGTGCCCAGTGGGTGTAAACAATGCCTTATCTTTAATATTAGGAGCAGAAATTGTGGGTGCCAGTGGAAGGAATAGTGCCCCATCATTGGTGTCAGTGGAAGGAATTATGCCCCATCGCTGGTGTCAGTGGGAAGAATTATGCCCCATCGCTGGTGTCAGTGGAAGGAATTATGCCCCATCGCTGGTGTCAGTGGAAGGAATTATGCCCCATCATTGGTGTCAGTGGAAGGAATAGTGCCCCATCATTGGTGTCAGTGGAAGGAATTATGCCCCATCATTGGTGTCAGTGGAAGGAATTATGCCCCATCATTGGTGTCAGTGGAAGGAATTATGCCCCATCATTGGTGTCAGTGGAAGGAATAGTGCCCCATCATTGGTGTCAGTGGAAGGAATAGTGCCCCATCATTTGTGTCAGTGGAAGGAATTATGCCCCATCATTGGTGTCAGTGGAAGGAATAGTGCCCCATCATTGGTGTCAGTGGGAGGAATAGTGCCCCATCATTGGTATCAGTGGGAGGAATAGTGCCCCATCATTGGTGTCAGTGGGAGGAATAGTGCCCCATAGTTAGTGTCAGTGGAAGGAATAATGCCTCAAGGGCTGGATAAAGGCAAGCAAAGGGCTGCATACGGTCCCAGGGCCATAGTTTGGAGACCACTGTTCTAGACCTAAACAAACAATTAAACTTTGCAGTGCCGACACAGCCCCACTGCAATGGATCATTTTTTAGTTGCCCAGAGTTGGACTTTAAAGCTGACCTTCACCCTCCCAGTCCCTTTCTCACATTCCACTGCAACTCCCCCTCCCCCCACAGGATTGGCTATTATTTACTTATATTTTGGGGGGAAAATACTTTACTTGGGGACCCCTGCCCACACATTCACATCTAGGTGAGCAGTACATCATTGCCCGCATACCAATGTCATGCATCCTGGCAAGCTGTGGGGTACTGTACAGGCCTCCATCAGGGGCCGGCTGTCTCTTCATAGTTTCCTGCACATGCACACCATCCTGGGCTCAGCTACGAGAACCCAGACGAGACATCCTGCAGCCCTGCTGACATTGAAAAGATAATGGTGGCACGGGACTGGGTGTGCTGCAGCAGATCTTTGAAGAACACAGCTGGATCATCATGCATGTAACCAGGGGCGGACTGACAACTCATGGGGCCCCCGGGCAATAGGGGATCATGGGGCCCCTGTGCCCTTGCCCAAACTCACAAAAGCCTATGAAAAAGGTACCAGGGGCATCTCATGGGGCCCCTACTGACCCCGGGCCCTCGGGCAGTGCCAGAGTTTCCATATGGTCAGTCCACCCCTGCATGTAAGTGTTTTTTTTTTTTTGTTTGTTTTTTACACAACCCAGATACAGAGGTGGGGGGGGGGGGGGGGCAGTAAAGTTCCTCTTTAACCATTTGCCCTCCTGAGGATTTACCCCCTTCCTGACCAGGCCATTTTTTGCGATATGGCACTGCATTACTTTAACTGACAATTGTGCAGTAATGCTTCCCTGTACATAAATTAAATTTACATCATTTTTTTCCCACAAACAGCTTTCTTTTGGTGGTATTTGATCACCTGTGAGTTTTTAATTTTTTGTGCTATATAAAAAAAAAAAAATAAAAAAAAACCCACAATTTTGAGAAAAAAAAAAAATAGTTTTGACTTTTTGCTATTAAACATGTCCAGTAAAAAAAAAAAAATCAAATTTCATCATAAAATTTAGGCCAAATAGTATTCTGCTATGTCTTTGCTGAAAAAAAATCCCAATACGTGTCAATGAATTGGTTTACATGAAAGTCATAGTGTCTACAAATGGCAGTATATATAATGGATTTTTTTTTTATATATATACTAATAATGGCGGCGATCAGCAACTTATAGAAGGACTGCAGGACTGCGGTGGGAATTCTGACACTGGTGGGAACTGACTAACTGCCACTGACATCCCCAGTGACACTAATACAGTGATCAGTGCTAATAAAAAGCACTGACGCTGTACTAATGAAACTGGGCAGGAAGGGGTTAACATCTTGGGTGATCAAAGGGTTAACTGTGTGCTTCACTGTGTAAGCATGCTGCTATTCAGAGCCATACAAAGCAGTATGCAGGAGCTGACAGGGGAGAGAACTGAATTGTTTTTACATACAGATGTCTCCCCTGTCGGTGATGCACAGTGATCGCCGGGTACCGGCAGGTGATCGACAGGTGAGGCTGCCAATGGCGGCGCGGGTTTCCCTACCTGGAAATGCAAAATCACGTGTGTATATATACACACACACACACATCACGTACCTGATAGGAGACTGAATTGACGAGGTTGGCCTCAGTTGTGTCACTAGCCCTGACTCCGCTGAGGTTGGAACAGAGGGAGTCTAGGGACCAGGGGGACAAGAGCGGCAGTGTTGATGCTTGCAGCTCTTGCAGATGATGGCCTGGAAAGGCAGTGTATCCTCTGATTAGAATACTGTATAGCAGACAGAGCAGGTTCTGGGTAATGCCTGATGTGCAGAAGAGCAAGTAGGTAGCCAGGGCACAGAACTGGAGCAGGATCAAAGGAAGCCAAGGTCATCAACAGTCGGGCAGCGAGGTACAGAATCAGTAGGAGAAGCCAAGGTCAGGAGCAGAGCCGAAGTCAGGAACCAGGAGCAGGAGCGTAATCAGAGTCGGGTCAGGAACAAGCCGGGTCAGCACCAAAGGCATGGCACAGGAAACAAGCAGGCCACTGGGGAAAGCTGAAGACCAGTCAGCACTGAATGAGCACGGAGGTGCTCTTTAAATAGCTCGCCCAGAGCCGACAGGCGCGCCTGGGTCCTAGTGCCTGCCCGTTCTGTCATTGGTGACAGGCGCGCCTGGGTCCTAGTGCCCGCTTGCCTGTATGCATTGTCGGGATCCTGCGCATGCGCAGATTCATGCACTGCTGCACTTTTCTTGTTCCCTGACAACATGATTTTGCGCACCCCTGCTGCCCTGTAGCAGTATTTCTGCTATAGGGTGGCGGGAAAGCGATTAGCTTAAATCAGAGCTATGGGGAAAACTTTTTTTTTTCCTTCTGAATAGAGTAAGGAAGGGTTATATCCCCTGACTTTTTTTTTTTGCCGTCTTTGTCCCATTGGGGAGACTTCACTTCCTGTTCCATAGCTAAAACAGGAAAATGAGAGATAATCCCCAGGTCACCAGAACTAGCGTCCCCATTGGAAAATTTCCCCCTTATTACTTTTCTGGAGACAACCAGGGCCGGAGCTTCCACTAGGCAAACTAGGCAGCTGCCTAGGGTGCACTGCCACCTAGAGGCGCCTCGGCGCAGCTCAGGCCAGCACTAGCTCTGTGTGGCCTATGGAGCTCTTGCATGAATTCTCCATTTCTCTGCAGAGTCCCCGTCTCCTCATACACAGGGAATGATGGTATCTTTACTCTGCACAATTGTCTCACACCCTGTCCGCAAACAGGACCATTTAGTACTATATAAGACAGTATTCCATGTAGCAGTGAAGTGTCGGCTCCCCCTAGGATGGGAAGTGGTGACATTAGCCCAGGACCCCGGGCGGTCAGCAGTCTTGGATCGAAGAATCGGTCCGTACATCTCCAGTACACACACTGGAACACACGATCCTTTACCTGTAACAGGAAGTCGGCTAGTGCCCGAAGGGCGCATGTCCAGCACTGGCTCCACCTTCTTCTACAAAACTGGAGCCAATCAATAGCCAGGGGTGTGCTCTGATTGCAGGGTTAACCCTATGTGAGTAGGATGATCTGGGCCAAATGTGTATGAGAGGGAAGCGGTGTAGTGCTGGGAGGCCGCCTGTCCTCACTGAGAGCCGCAGCCTGGATTCTGCACCCAGGCAAGAGTCATCAGAGGTGAGCTGAGCCCAGGAGGATGGCGGGTCATGGAGGTGACAGGAGGAGGAGGGGGGCGGACAATGGTCAGAGTGAGGAGAGCGGATGCTGATTGATCGTGTGTGACATCACTACGTCATGAATGATCCTTCAGCTGAGGGGAGGGGAAGAAGAAAGGACAGAGGAAATGTCGAGAGTGTGGGGCCAGTGTAACAGCTGAGCTGCTGCTCCTTCCAGTGTTCCTCTCAGACTCAGTCCCTTACTGCAAGCCGGCTGGTGGCTGCTGATCACTGTGGAGTTTTGTAACTCCCTTGTTTTTGTTTTGTTTTTGTGTTTCTCTGATTGGTTAATACAGTTAATTTATATTTGGTAATATATATTTTGTCTTTAATATTGGTGCTGGTGGCATCTTTTAGCAGTTTCATTTGTTGTTGCTTTAATATTTTCTACTGTTTTTTACAAATTTTTATTTGTTTATTTTTTGGGGGGGCGCAATTAGCTGGTCTTGCCTAGGGCGCAAAATAGTCTAGCACCGGCCCTGGGGACAAAACAAAATTTGGCGTTTTCTTTACTTTCAATGATAATGGTAAACAGGACAAATAGGGTGAATAGCTTGAATCTCCCTAACAGGGGAACAGACAGCAATAAAACCTGACAGGTGATCTAATCCCTCTCCACTCAAAACTGAAAATAAAATTGTGCTTTTGGTTATACTTTTTAAAAAATAATTTTTACTTGTGCAGCTGTTTCAGTTTCCTTCACTTCCTCTCTGGGGAAAAGGTTGTCGCCAAAACAATCAATAGGGGGGAAATCTCAAATAAAAAAGCCCTGGACAGCAGCAAAAGCTGACAGGGATTCTAACCTCTCTCCAGTCTATCCAAATTTAAAAGACGTTTTGGGTATAGATACACTTTAATCATTTATAATAAAAATGGCACCCAGCAGTTAGAGGAAGTACCCCACTAATCATGTAACTGGCTGGAAGAGGCCGGCCTATAAGGAAATGTACATTTTGTAGGATATGGGGTGGAGGGGGTTTCTGGGAGGAGGAAGGCAGCAGGAAAATCTGGGCAAAGACCATTCATAGGAAGCCTAGGTGAAAAAGGACCACCCACCCGAAGCCTCCTGGGATAATGGCATCACACATCCCAGGAGTCTTCAGGGAAGTCTGCAAGAAAATGGTGGACAGGACCGTAAAGAAAAAGGTAAGGGGGCAGGGAGTGAAGTTGATATTTAAGTAAACCACAATAACTTAATATGCAGAAAGTGATTGTTGACCAAAAAGATGGACAACTTAGGAGGAAAGAGGAACAGAGGGATTTGGTTCCAAAAGAGGGACAGTCCCTCCAAATGAAGGACATTCAGGAACTACTCTCACTGGCACCACAGCACACCTGTTAGGAGCCGACTGGCGGTAGCCTCTAGCAACCCACAGGCCGGAATTCCTCAGGGCGCGGAGTCCAAGTCTCAGTCTGCTGATTCACCAGAGCTCCTGATGGTGGGGATGGACTTGAAGCAGCCTGAGACCAGGTTGCGACCCCCGAGTACAACCAGCTGTGGTAGAGGAAGCCGCCAATGGCAGGTGACAGGTGAGAGCCAGATGTGAAGAGGTAGTAGCGTAGTCAGACGGGCCGGGTCGGATAACAGTGGAGGCAGA